TTTGCCATGAAACAGTCTGCTAAAATTGGACCCAATTGAGACCCCATTGCGATCCCATCCCTTTGTCTATATATTTCATTATTGAAACTGAACTGGACATTAAAAGTACAGCGTAACATAAAGTCTTTCAAGTGTTCGGTTGGCAAACCTAGATCTATATTGTTAGAATCAATATACTCACATATATAACATATTGTTTCGGTTAAAGGTACGCTAGTGAACAAAGAATTAACGTCAAGTGAAAACATGTGTTTTTCGGGAGTATTAACGTCCTTAATACGATCAATAAATTGAAAAGTATCATGAATAGAATGTTTACATACTTGCCTTCTAACCGGTTCCAATTATTCCACTAACCATTTGGCGATTCTGTGGTATGGAGAACTTGACATGTCCAAAATAGGTCGTAACGGTAAACCCGGCTTATGTATTTTCGAATATCCTTCACTAGTAGAAACTTATTTTCTGTATCCATAAAAGATAAGCTTCCGCGTCTGGTCGCCTCCATGTGCATCTACCAGTTCACCTGCTCTTGTAGAGCAAGGTACATTGGCCGTAGCCAGCGCTCGCTTTCAACTCGGATACGAGAACATATCCCAGCCTGGTTCTATAAGGGTGAAAGGAAAGCAGTTAGGAGTTCTATACTTGAACACCTAATCGACTATAACCATTCAACAGATCCACAAATTGACTTTAAGGTTGTTTATATGATTCGTTCAAATCTACCCAGATTTCTTCGTATCCAACTTTTAAAAAAATAGCCGAAGCTCTTGCCATCCAGGAGCTTAAACCAGAACTATGCGGACAAAAGAAGTACGTCTTATCGTTATCGTTACCTTGGCCTTAATTAGTTTGATTATCCTACTATTAATGTTATTATTATTATTATTACTGCATTCCCTCTTTACTTATGTCTTATATTCTCATTGTTTTATTCATGAACGCTCATCATATCAGTTTATTTTTGTACACCTCTATGACCTTTAATTATTATGACAAAAACAGTTGAATCATTTTAATCATCTTATTATAATCACTAAATCGATTGTTATTGTTATTATCCATATTACGGAGTCTGAGATTATCAGTGTGCGTCAACATATACAATCGAGATGCACATGTAAAATCTAAACTACGGTTTGGATGTTGGAGAATAGCCTTCCGACTGGATAAGACACGCGCCTGTGCCCGTCGAAATCAAAACAAGTAATCAGGCAAACAGCGGTTCTATAATTCATCATAAATTTATATGTAAATCGTTACCTAAACAACTATTACCACCCGGCTATTCAACCAATAATTGTTCAATCAATCAAATCTAAATTGCAATAATAAAGTTGGTAAAAGATTAGTGAAAATTATCAGTCACAACAAATTAACGTTATTCTATCCTGACTGAACAGAACACAAACAAAAGAGGGGCAAATCAAGTGTCAAGTAAAACAACAAAGATGCAGTTCGGGAGGAAACACAAACTTAGTGAATGCGTAAGAAAAAAAACTATAATAAAGATACAAATATTAACAATTCAAATGTAATCAAAAGACAACAATGTACAATTAAAGGGATCAATAGGAATAAACTACAAGTATATACACGGAGGGATTTTCACAAACGCACAAAACATTCAAATAGGATCTTTTAGTATAGACTTGAAGTGACACACATTTATCACGAGAACACGACTGGTATAATAAAAACAATTATTATTATAACCAACTGTACCAGTGTTTGTCTTAATGTGCTTTTGTTTGACTGTGCTAATGACAGCTATATTGTGCTTCCATTCATATACTTACACTTTGATTGTGACTTCGCGCGAATTCGGTTACGTTCTGTAACCAAGCTTGTATCGTGGCACGATCTCGGTATCCTTTCGATACCACGAGATCGCCAGCAAATATATCTCGACTTGGTCCATTAACTGTCTTCTGATATTTGGCTTCTCGAGGATTTTATGGATTTCTTTGGTTACGTTCAACCCTCGCCTTCTGATTTATTTGGCACGTGTTTCTTGATAGCGATGTTCATAGTTAGTCTCGACTCGACTCCACGCTACACCTGGTGAGCCGTATTTTGGAACATGCCTCAACCTCTGGTCGAATCTTCCAAAAAATCCAATTCGGTGAGTCTATTATTTATCTATCCACGTCTGTCGTATCTTTTCATATTTTTTAATATATAATATACTCGACATGACGGATAACGATAAGAATAGTATTAATATAATAGACTCTCATTTATGTGTACCGAATCCTTGTCACATTTTATTCGTGTGACGATGAATTTCACGCTTTATTCGAGAAATTTTCCCTTTTTAACTATTCTCCTCGCTGACTCGGCTGCATGGTATGGAATGCACTCGCATACGCATTAACATCTACCTCCCAGCATCAAATGCTTAAGTTGAACGGTTTCATTGTCAACTTAAAAGTGCTCTACGAGCACACGAGAACGACAACTGGTACGGAACCTTATCGCTCGTCCTCTTAGGTATTCGAACGAGCTTGAAGGCAGATATACAATGTTCCGCCACTGAACTGGTATACGGCACGACATTGAGTCTGCCCGGAGAACTCTTCACACCACGGAGCAGACCTGATTTCGGTAAATCAGACTACGTCCATCGACTGTCTGCATTTATGCGAACGCTGTCTTCGGTGTCAACGCGAATACGACATCGACAGGTCGCTCTCCGTCGAGAGTTGTCTACCTGTTCACATGTTTTCATACGAGTAGATTCGGTACGCAAACCTTGGCAACAACCTTACGAAGGCTCTTTTCACGTGATCGCTCGTCACGAAAAGATTTTCAAGGTTGATCGACATGGCCGCGTCGAGATCGTCAGCATTGATCGTCTCAAACCAGCACATGTCGATGACATTGTCCTATCGGATACCCTGAGACTCAATGCTAGACCTATCAAACCTAGCGGGATCCTTAAATCTTCTTCAGACTCCACGCTAGATACATCTGAGTCCTCATTCTCACGTCCCGGTCAACAGCACGCGTCATCTGCACCGTCTACGGACGAGACGACAGTCTCACGTCCAGATCAGCAGACCACGCCGCCTCTGACCTCGGATGAGATTGCAGGCTCACGAGATACGAACGAGACTGCCGTCTCACGTTCCGGTCACCGAGTACGGTTGCCCGTACGCTTCCGCGACTAGCCGCACAGTTGACAAACGATACGGTGTAGGGTTATTCTTATGCTACATGCATGCTACACTCTTCTCTTTTTTGATTTTTTTCCTGATCCCACACCCTCGACCATCTCCGTTTGGTTCCGTCGACTTCAGTCAACTTTGGCGAAAGCTGGATTGACCACCCATGCTCTTGTCAACGCACTCAGTCGATATTTTGATTTCGAATGCTTGGCATACGCTTGGTCTCGAACTTGGTCGTCACGGTCGCTTCTGGTCTTTTGGCTCAACGTGGTTTCGTCCTACGTCTGCAGCGTTTTTGTTCCGCATTCACTACGAACGCAATCTTCAGATTCTGGATACAAACCACTCTCGTGTAGCATGCCAACTCAAGCAACAAATACAGCACATCGCTCCTGGACCTTCGTTGGCAACTCGACGATCAATGATCGCTTTCCTGTTCGCCAATCCTTCCGGTATTCATATTTAGTCTCGACTCGACACCACGCTACAGAGCTACCACACTTAGTTTTTTTCAACTTGCATGCCAGTCAGCATCTTTTGCCAGGGTAGATACAATCAGTGTGCTTAACATCTCTCTGAAAGGTTTGTGCTCTCGTCAATCGACTTCACAATTCTACATGGTACTGTCCGTCTAACCTTAACACTACTGGTCAATTGTTGCACAATATACACTAGCAGTTGTTGGAAGATGCCCGTGATTGAATACTTACAGCTCACGGATGTCTTCCATTTTGAAGTACGTTTGGTGATTTGAAACAGATTGCTTCTCAGTTTACTCACTTATTGGTTAACATACAGATTGAGACCTAGATCTATATAACTTCAGTCCTTAAATAAATGGACTGTATAAGTTGGTTGAAGATGTAACTCATCGTGATTATTAGAAGTATCCGAATTGTTGTGCAATCTAGGAATTCCCGAAGTAGTGAAATCTGTGCAGAGAGAAGTAGGTTAGCACAAACGAATGCAGTGTACCTGGAATTCGAAATCAGGCGGACATCGATTGCGAAAGAATCATTAGTTCATACGAGCACCAAACACGCTAAAACTTAAACGAGATTCCGAATTCCTGCAATCAATCCTACCACTGCTCCATATGTTTATTATGTGTCTGTTCGACTGTGTATTCGGTGTAGAATCTGTGTTATCTAGAATATACTCATTAGTATTGGAATCAACAATTGAAATCGAAACGGACTCACCTAAGTCTTTGAATTTTATGCAACCGCTATGTCAACTGCGTGCTGAAACCAACGATAACTAGATTTGAACCATAGATTTTCCAACACTATCCTCCCCACAAAATAACGTAGGGTACTTATGCAGCAATGTCATGAACGATTTCACGTCATCATGTGACTTTGACCTACATAAAAAATATGATACATATTGCTTTTGCTTTCCACGTTAGAATACACAAGACCATTCTTCCAGTTATCAGGTAAATACGCATTGATGTTTAATTAACACATGTGATTTGTTTAAGCTTGATTCATAAAGAATAACAATGCCTCAGTCCTCTACGAGTCCGTGAAGCTGCTCGCGTTCATGTGTGCATATACTCAACTTCCACTAAAAGATAATTGTTTTATACTATCTCTGTATTCCGTTGCTTTAGTATATTTTATGAAGTATTACGCGTGCACAACCACCCCTAACCTCGATGGCCATAAACCGTTGTAGTGGCAAGAATACTCATAACCGTATCGGTTCAACAAAAAGCGAGAGCAATGAAACAAATCTTTCTATATACACCCGTTTTAAAGTTATTGGAAATATGGAACGACCTTAGAACAATTTGAAATTCCGTGACCTTCAGTTTGCTTCATTATGAGCGAAAGATACATCTTCTCCTTAACTACATTCAGGTGAGCCCATGTTTTTAGACTTTATCAAAAACTTTAGTCCATCCGGAAAGCTTGTTCAGATCGAATATGCATTGAAGGCAGTTGAAGCTGGAGCTCCATCTGTTGGTATACGTGCCGCGAATGGGGTTGTGCTTGCTGCAGTAAAAAAGTTCACTTCAAAACTTATGGACGAGTCAACAGTGACAAAAATTGAACAAGTGACAGATGGGATAGGGATGGTTTACAGTGGGCTGTCGCCAGATTATCGTGTATTGGTTAAACAGGCCAGAAAGTCGTCCCAGGCATATCAGCTGGCGTATGGTGAACCTATATCTCCGGAACAATTGGTTATCCGAATAGCTGCTGTTATGCAAGAATATACACAATCCGGGTGGGTTTTGTGTTCCTATCATTTTCGCGTTTATATCGACAAAATTAGCTAGCCAACTGATTACATCAATGTTTATACTTCATATAGATTTATAGATATAGTAATTAATTACACTCAACAGACAAATAGTATGTATACTTATGTGATGTGACCCTATAGCAGAACGTCTACATTACTAGAATTTACTATCAATTCTGCTTTCCATTCTCCACTCCACATTTTAAAGTATGAACTTTTCCACATCATTGCTATCTATATCACCGGAATAGAATTCACTGACGATTTTGATATAGTTTCCCCTTGATTCTTCTGGCTGAAGTTATTCACTAGGAAGTCCTAGGTTCATGCTGAATAGCACTCGCGAACAAAATGTGTCTTCAATCAAGATTGATAAGTGAATAATTAACAAGGTCTGTTCAGAACCTAGAATAAGTTATATGAGCTTAATATAGTAACCGACACTTCAGTTTGAAACATTATCCTAAATATCTTACTTACTTACTTACTTACTTACGCCTGTTACTCCTCGTGAAGGGGCATATACCGCGTCCTAAATATCTTAATACAATATAATTAGTAGTATACAGACAGTATTCATAATGGATATACATTGATCATCTTACAGTTTACAGTCATACAAGTAAATCATTAAATTCAGAGAAATTAACTTAAACTGTAGTGAATGAGATCTTACAAGTGGAGACAATCGAATGTATTTGAATGCAACATTACATAACCACTTAGTAAAATCTGAGAACTATTTGCAAAATGTCCATCAATCGTCTAAGACTTCATTGTTCTTTTGTTTACACACCAATCATTCTCTGTTGTCGTTCTGTTCGATCTTTTTTTTACCTCAACAGTGTTTAAAATCAGAAGGCAATGAGAATGGACAACTACAGTTTTATTCGCGGATAGCGCAGATTACGAAGCTATAAGCACATCAAGCGAATTTGAAGCGGAGTGACGAACAAGTACATACCAGCAATTACATAGTCAAATTTATATTCAATCACATAAGGTACAGCAAGGCAAACGAAAGGTTATAATAGAGTTCGCGTAAATATATACATGGAGAAGAGAATGAATCAACGAGCAGTATTTCGGGATCAACATTTTAGCCAGAGTTTGTCATGTTCTCTACTGTTCATAACGGTAAAAAGAGATATGCGAATTGTCTATTAAGTAAGTTAAATAAAATAGTTTAACCAATACTAACCATAATCAAAATGGATTGTAGGATAGTTGCTATAAGAGTATATTTTTGCATGAGTTTTGAGTTATGATTGAATTGAGTTCAATAGAGAACTAATCTGCCATTTGCTTTGATCTTCTAACTAATCACTAGTTTAGAAAAAGATTGACAATCAATCAGTGTTAACGTTTCGTTTGTTATTTTTATTTTATTTATTTTAGCACATAGATATTGATACAAGGGGGCACCAAATACATATGCGCCACACAGATCTCGTTTGATTTGTGCGGGGGCTGTGATACTGCCCGGGTGCCCAAACCGAAGCAGGTAGTTTTCTTAGGGTGCCAAACCCGGAGCCTTTGACCTAAAGGTCTGACCCACCATGCTGTGGAGCGTTTCGAGAGGGAGAGCAGACTCTCCTCACTCTCGGCCGTACCAGGGCATCGATCGATATATCGATTGATATATACATGGTCACTGCTCCTACTAACTATATAAGTTATCTTAATTGATAATCAGACTAGAAAGAGTAAGAAATTATACGACTGTTTACCTATGCATACAATCTAGTCACATAGGAACCTAATACAATCTAACCAATGGACACTACCTGTTATTATCTTCCAACATTGGATTAATCTATGTTATAAATTTGTAAATGGGGATTGTCAATATGTAGGTTGTGAAGATTACAACAATAATCTATAGGTCAAAATGAAGCTTATAATGAGAGGAATATAGATATGCATAAGGTAATTACTGAATAGTTATACCATAAGGATATATAGATAATGTTAGTCCATTATTAGGTCTCAGAGGTTACCTATAACTTAATCTTTACTAGATTATAACAGTCATTATACAGTGAAATCGATAGTACTGAAAGTATGGAGTGTTAAATTCTATTTTTGTATATTACAGGTGTTGTGAACAGGGAAACAAGAAGCCTTGACAAATTACGAAAGTTATTTTTCGAGACGTTATTTCATTTTATGCAAAGCTTGTAAAACACTAACATTTATTTTTGTCCCTATTCTATTCTACAGAATATAAGCTTTCGTTTGATGTATGATTCATTGACATAACCCCTTTTTGTTCCGAAGCTATTGTAATTTAAACATAATATTTTGCACCTTATTTTCTACTCTAATTCCCAGCTTTGGACAAAATTGTATTTCTCCTAATTATTGTACGTTGTGGTCGGGTTATTCACCTATTTATTCATGTACTTTTTTCACACTAACTGAACTGAACTGACATTAGGATATGAGGAATAGATCGAGTAGTGTTCCAGTTGTCTTGTCTTCTCTCATTTGCGTGTTTGTCAGCCAATCAGGTGATAGAATAGTTTTCTTCTTTATACCCCACTTCGAACTCACGCGTACTGGCCTCAAAGTCAGGCCGGTCAGCCCATCGCGCCAAGGTCTTAATCTGGATTAGATAAGTATCATCAGCACCAAAATTGGGTAGACAAACCAAAGGACATAACAATAGGGTAATGAACATTAACAAATTGACATTATCCCTAAATTATAACTCAGGTCCCTTGAACTAGAAGTAAACTTTAACTTATTGGCATTAGATTTCATGAATCAGTTCATCAGAAAGAGATTCGAATTTTTGTTTAAAACATCTTGCTGAAATTCTTGCTATCAGATGTCTAGAAACTTATTTTAACATGTTCGAAAGTAGATGATTATTGAATCATTTTCTGTATTGATTATACAAAGATTTTTTCATGAAGGAATATGTTCCGAGATAGTGCACATTGACAATGCTTGACATGAAACTCAAACACAGAATGTTAATTCTATGAGTGCTAAGGATATCTGTATGTAACAAAGTAGAAACAAAGAACAATGGTCAGTTGAAATAGTTCTAAAAGAATCAATAATATTAGGTATAGAACAAACAAAGACACAATCAGTATCGCCGTCGATAAGAAATATGTACACTCAATATGAGAATCGATGGAAATATTCAGTTGATAAAACAAATAATGAAGATGAACTATTGAATATAATGAAAGAATAAAATTATAATAATGGATAGAATGATTGTTAGATGTTTATATGTACACTGTGAAACATCATTGTCAAGATAGATTACGAGTGAACTTGAGAAATCTCTAAGAAGATCCAAAAGAATTAAAGATATTCCATCCAATCATCTTTTGGAAGAATATTCCAGAATCCTTATGTGTAACCTCTCTATTAGACAAATGATGAGAACCTCCTATGTGTAGATTGGATAACTATAATGATGATGATTTCGTTGATACTAAAAACACTATAAATACTTGACAGTTTGTATGATATTTGACACTGTTTTGGTATAGCATTCCTTTCACTTCTGTCTTCTCATTTGTGACTTGGAAGATTCTAGCGTTTGAGTGGTCAAGTTGTACTTGATATATCAAAGAATCTAAGCTCCAGATATAACGATGACATACAACAACAAAAGATTCCCTAAACTATCTATTCTTATATGATTGACTATTACATAAGTTATTGATCATATTGCATAATTCACAGTTTGTTTCAAAAAGGATATGCTTTATTTAAAACTGGTGTTGTTTCCGTTAACTGAATCAGAGGATATCTTCTTTTAACTTTTTTCTACTTTTCTTTACCATTTAAGAAAATAAGTTTGATGTATGATCTCTGAAGAATTGCCAACTTTAACTTGCTCTTCAGAAATTAAGAAAACAACAATAGTGGGACATCAGTATTCACAATTGACTGATCACTGAGTAGTGATCAAATGTCATGTGCGTCAAGTCTTTATTTAGTGCAGATCGAATGCTATCGACCATGTTGCAATGTGGCCACCAGTCTAGGTGACCGGATAGCTCAATGGTAACGTCTCTGATTGTGAGCTGGGTGACACCGGATCGAATCCGCCAGGGAGCAACCAGTTTCCTTAAGATTACAGGTACACCTTGCTGACGAGTGCCAAGTAGCACGAAAGCCTGGCCCAGAGTTTCCTGTTGACCACCATCTAATGAGTTAATGCATATATCTCTATAGTTTTACGCCAGGAATCAATGAAAGTTGTATGTATTCATATGAAAATGCAGGAACAATGAAATCTAAGACGATGGAGTACTGCGACTACTGCTACTACTACTTGTATATATATATATATATCAGTATTATAGATTTATCATATTTTCCGCGAAAAAGACATGGACTTCTAATATTCGTTGTCCTCTAGTTGTTTTGGTCTTTCTATTTCGAATGACATTTATAAAATATAGATCAGTCACGTTATACATCATTAAGGAAATACCGACCTTTATATATTCATATCGCTCGACGTTTCGCGCACTGCTGGAGAGTCCCACAATAGGACGAAACGGCCGTCCACTGCTTCCAGGTTTCTCGTGGTGGTCTAGCTTCAACTGACTCATGATCTTAACCATCGAAATTATTACAGATACAGTTAATTTATACTGAAACAGTCTAGATGAGATAAAGCTTATGACTGAAGACAATATGGAGGCAATCTGAACAGGATACACATTTACCAACAACAGATTGATTAATTACAGTCCTAAACAACAATGGGAAGATACAAGTAAACAATATCAACTGAATATAACTTCGCTCCATTATACAAGCAGGTGGCTATTAGGACTTAGTAACTGAGTGGATAATATTATTGCATCTGAAGCGAATGGTACTGGGTTGGAATCCTGAAGGTAACGTTAACTGTGCAATGCAAGTAGGGTGAAACACTCTTCCTAAATTCCACTACTAATCATCATCCATCCTTGTTTATAAAGTATCGATGGAAGTCCTAAATTATCTCTATCTAATAATCTCATTTATTCTATTGTAAAATATTGATTTCCCCCCCCCACACACACACACACACTCTTCACTCAACCATCCACCTATTCACTCCCATTGAGATTCCATGGTTTATTAAAATTAAAATGCAAAAGAACTGAATAATCATTATTGATTGAATTGATTGGTTACATAAGAAACCAGAACAAATTACAATTGGTTATTTGTTAATACATTAGAAATCATTCATTGAAAGTTAATCATGATTATACAAACAATACTCGTTCATCATTATCACTATCATCATCATAACTTCAATCTACAATTGTAATGGGTAAATGTAGGATAATTAACAAATATATCATATGAACAACAGTTAAGATCATGAGTCAATTGAAGCTAGACCATCATGGAGGACTTGGAAGGACTGGATGGCCGTTTCGTCCTAGTATGGGACTCCTCAGTGGCAGTGCGAACCCCCGATCGCGCCCCGCGGGACTCGCGCCAGGCGCTAAACCAACTAGACCACTGAGCTGTTCGGCATCCAATGGTGTTAATGTCTAACATCAAGCAATCCACGATATGGAGCGACACATCCACCATTGTCATCAGTGAGTTACTATCTCACAACTGAGACAGTTGAACTCCACTGGTCACTGCTTCTCACTGGAACTCCAGGATATATCTCTTGAAGCAAGTCCCACAATAGGACAAAACGGTCATCCAGTACTTCCAGATTTTCCGTGGTTGTCTAGCTTCAATTGTCTCATGATCTCAACTGTTGAAATTACTACAATCTCCACAAAACGCCTTCTGATATATGTGCATATTGAATCATAGAATGATACGATTTTAAAGATAGATTAGTCAATAGAAATGTA